CTACTACTACTACTACTACTACTACTACTACTACTACTACTACTACTGCTACTTCCACTACTACTACTACCCCACCACTACTACTACTACTACGACTACGACGACGACTACTACGACGACGAATACTAATTCTATCACTATTTATGGACTTCGACTACGTTACTACTACTTACTACTACTACTACTACTACTTACTACTCTTAATACTTACTACGACGGCGACGACAACTCTACGACGACTACTACTACTACTACTACGATACTACGATTACGGACGACGACGACGACGACGACGACGACGAGACGACGACGACGACGACGACCGACGACGCGACGACGACGACGACGACGACGACGACGACGACGACGACGACGACGACGACGACGACGACGACGACGACGACTACTACTACTACTACTACTACTACCACTGCTACTACTACGACTACTACTACTACGACTACTACGACTCCTACTCCTACGACTACAACTACTACTACTACTACTACTACTACTACTACTACTACTACTACTACTACTACTACTACTACGACGACGACGACGACGACGACGACAACGACGACGACGACTACTACTACTACTACACACCCTCCTCCAATGCATTGATCCCTCTCTCCATCCATTCATCCAATATCATCCCTCCTCCTTCGTCCTACCCACCCCCCTCCTCCGCCACCTCCTCGTGCCCCTTCTTGCAGTTCACCTGTCCCACCCATCTCCCCTTTGCCTTCGCCCTCTTCCACGCCTCGCCGCTCTGCGCCCCCCCCCCTCCCCCTGTCCCTCCGATTGCCTTCCGCATCCACAGATTGAGCGGAGAGGAGAAAGAATTCTTCCGCAGGCCGCTGGCAAAGCACACCAGGTGGAAAAGACGCTTAACGGACGCACGAGTGCTATCGCGGTCTGCCCTCTATAACTCCTGCGCGAGCCCATCGCCTCCCCCCATCCTCCACCCCCCCTCCCCGCCCTTCCCACCGAGGGCATCTCGAGTACGGCCAGCGGTGGCGGCGACGACCACGAGAGCGGAGCGCCAAGCTGGCAGGGGCCGCAAAGCACGCCCCCCTTCGAGCGGCGCGGGGCGGGCAGGACGCCTCCTCCGAAGCCCATCACGCCCTCGTCCGTGGGCGGCGAGTCCACCGTGGCGACGCGTCGCGCCGCAGCTTTGCCGCGGCGGCGCGAGCGGCGCGAGGCGGAGACGCCTGGGGCGCGCCAAGCGTCCGATCCCCCGCCGCAACCGTGGGCACACTCGCGTCAAGCCGAGTCACGAACCACCCGTGTGGGGGGGGAAGAGAGAGAGAGAGAGAGAGAACAACAAAACAAAAAGCAAAACGAAACGAAATGAAAACGAGGAAGAGAAAAGAGAGACAGAGAGAGAGAGAGTGAGAGAGAGAAAGAGAGAGGGAGGGAGAGGGAGAGGGGGAGAGAGAGAGAGAGAGGGAGAACACAAGACAACAACAATAAACAAAATCACTGGACAGCTCGCCCCTTGGCCCCCCGCCAGCCCCACGTCAAGGGGCGAGCATATATACGGGCGCAGCACCGCGCTGGATGCGTAGCCGTCGGCTGGGCCAACCGAGCGAATGACGCATCGCGTGGCGGCTGGATGCCCGCGCCGAGCACAAATATTCTCTGTTCCTCCCTCCTTCTCCTCCTCCGCGGGCTTAAAACTGCCATCGACATATCCTCACCGGCTGGCTTAAAACTACCACCGACATATCCTCACCCGCAGGCTTAAAACTGCCACCGAAATATCCTCGCCCGCTGGATCAATGCAGCCACAGAAACATCCTCACCCGCTTTCTTAAAACTGCCACCGACAGATCCTCACCCGCGGAAATAAAACCGCCACCGAAATATCCTCACCCGCTGGCTTAAAACTGCCACCGAAATATCCTCACCCGCTGACTGAAAACTGCCACCGAAATATCCTCACCCGCTGGCTTAAAACTGCCACCGAAATTTCCTCACCTGCTGGCTTAACACTGCCACCGAAATATCTTCACCCGCGGAAATGAAACTGCCACCGAACTATCCTCACCCGCTTTCTTAAAGCCGCCACCGAAATATCCTCACCCGCTGGCTTAAACTGCCACCGAAATTTCCTCACCCGCTGGCTTGAAACTGCCGCCGAAATATCCTCACCCGCTGAAATAAAACTGCCACCGAAATATCCTCACCTGCTGGCTTGACACTGCCACCGCTCGATAACACTCGATAACACATCGATATCACCTCATGCTATCGAGGTGTCATCGAGCGGTATCGAGGTGCTCTCGAGCGCTATCGAGCTCGATCACACTCGATAGCACCTCGATAACACCTCGATAACATCTCGAACACATATCGAAAACATATTATCGAGGTGTTATCGGGTGTTATCGAGGTGTTATAGAGCGGGTGATGGTCACCCGCTGGCTTGAAACTGCCACCGCAATATCCTCACCCGCTGGCTTAAATCTGCCTTCGAAATATCCACACCCGCTAGCTGAAAACTGCCACCGAAATTTCCTCACCCGCTGGCTTAAAACTGCCACCGAAATATCCTCACCCGCTGGCTTAAAACTGCCACCGAAACATCCTCACCCGCTGGCTTAAAACTGCCACCGGAATATCCTCACCCGCGGAAATAAAACTGCCACCGAAATATCCTCACCCGCTGGTTTAAAACTGTCACCGAAATATCCTCACCCGCGGGCTTGAAACTGTCACCGGAATATCCTCACCCGCGGAAATGAAACTGCCACCGAACTATCCTCACCAGCTGGCTTAAAACTGCCACCGAAATATCCTCACCCGCGGAAATAAAACTGCCACCGAAATTTCCTCACCCGCTGGCTTGAAACTGCCACCGAAATATCCTCACCCGCTGGCTTAAACTGCCGCCGAAATATCCTCACCCGCTGGCTTAGAACTGCCACCGAAATATCCTCATCCGCGAGAATAAAACTGCGACCAAAATATGCTCATCTGCCGGCTTAAAACTGCCGCCAAAATACCCTCACCCGCGGAAATAAATCTGCCATCGAAATTTCCTCACCCGCTGGCTGAAAACTGCCACCGAAATATCCTCACCGGCTGGCTTAAACTGCTATCAGAATATCCTCACCCGCGGGCTTGAAACTGCCACCGCAATATCCTCACCCGCTGAAGCACCGAAATTTACTCAACTGCTGGCTCAAAACTGCCACCGAAATATCCTCACCCGCTGGCTTAAAACTGCCACCGAAATATCCTCACCCGCTGGCTTAAAACTGCCACCGAAATATCCTCACCCGCTGGCTTAAAACTGCCACAGAAATACCCTCACCCGCTGGCTTAAAACTGCCACCGAAATATCCTCACCCGCGGAAATAAAACTGCCATCTAACGGCCTGGTGGTTCAGTTCAGTCTGTCTACCTCGCGAAAATCAAATTACGGGCTGCGCCCGTAAAACAACAACCTCCGCGCCAGCTCCGCCCTCCCCGCGTCGCCCCCACGCCCACGCATCCCAAGGCCCCAGACGCAGCCCTCCCTCGCCGCTGCCGGGGGAGGCGCGGCCGCCCTCGCACGGAGGAGCCTCCAGAGGCTGTGTGTGTGTGTCCGGAACACCCACGTGAGCGAGGGAACGGGGAGGGGGGGGGGCGCCCCGCCTTCCATCTGCATCGGCCTCCCTGCCGATTGGGGACAGAGTTGCCGCCTTGCACTCCTCTCGGGCATTTGACACGGCGGCTCGGGCCTCTGGTGCGGAGGCCTCCGCTCTCTTTCGGCATCGGTCGAAGGATGAGCGTCGGCGCTGGCCCAAAGGCTTCAGCTTCCACTTAGCCTCCAGCGGGAAATGGTCGGCCTGCAATCCTCCAGTCAGTGAGGCGATCAGGGAGAAAGACCCGAGCTCCCACCAAAAGCCGCAGAGCCAAGGGTGCGAAGGTCCGGCTCAGGAGAGAGCCACCGTCATGCCCGGTTCGACTCTGGACCTTGGGCCACGGGAACGGAAGGATCCTGCACCCATGACCCTGTGCGCCTGGGCTTCCCAGCGGACTCGCGAGACTGGGCGTGCCCCACGCTCGCGCCAGGTCCTGGCTTGCCCCTGCCCGAATGCTCCGAAGCAGCGTGGCCCCTGCAGTGCTGCGCATCTGGCCGGACCGGTGGCGTTCCTGGGGAAACGCAAAGGTACCGATACCGCTCCTCTCCAGACCTCTCCCGGGGTGCGTTGTGTCCAGAGTTTCGAGGCGAATCCAGCGGTGGCGACGAGGGCCTCCCAGGAGGCCCAAAAAAAGGGGAGAACGAGGGAAGGGCAGAGGTATGGGTACTCCAGATTTCGTAATAAAAGGGAGGGGGTCTGGACCCTCCAAGACAAGCCATTTCAGACCTCCCCCGTGGGAGAACCCTCCAAAACATCGTTCCCAGACCCCTCCAGGCCCTCCAAGATAGCCTGGAAGAGACCCCCCCCGAAATGAGACCCCCTCCCTTTATTACGAAATCTGGAGTACCTGTTCCTCCTCTGAGTTCCAGGATCGGTGGCCCCAAGGTGGGGTCGGGATGGGGGCCCTACGGACGAGGCCGTGGCGGAGCGGGCGGGGGCCAGCAGAGGCTCCGAGAGGGGCGCGCCCTCCCGGCACAGCAACCCACGCCTCCCCCGCGGGAGCTGGCCCCGGCGGCGCAGCACGCGCCACGCCCCAGAGTTCTCCAGCGCCCTCCTGCTCTCGAGGCCCCCTCCACCTCCTCCTCCTCCTCCTCCTCCTCCCCCTCCTCCTCCCCGTCCTCCTCCTCCCTCCTCCTCCTCCTCCTCCTCCTCCTCCTCCTCCTCCTCCTCCTCCTCCTCCTCCTCCTCCTTCCGCCGCCCTCCTCCTCCTCTCCTCCTCCTCCTCCTCCTCACGCCGCTCCTCTGCCTCCCCCTCCTCCTCACCTCCTCCGCCTCCTCCGCCTCCTCCGCCGCCTCCCCCTCTCTCCTTCTCCTCCTCCTCCTCCTCCGTCTCCTCCTCCGCCTCCTATCCTCCTCCTCCTCTTCCTCCTCCTCCTCCTCCTCCTCCTCCACCGTCCTTCGGCATGGACCTCCAACAGCTGCCTATTTTTGGAGGAGCCTGAGGCCCGCGAGCGGCCTGCGGACCCCCCAAACTTAGGCAGTGCACGTTGGGGGATCGGCATCCGCCGTCGTGCAAAAAAAAACACGACCAGAGTCATGCTAAGACCATATGTCCTCCTTGGAGACGCGCTTCCGACCCGAACATATAATATGCCCATCTTGGTTTCCCGAGCGGTGTGGCCAGAAAGCGCCCGCCACGACGCATATACTATAAGAGTTCTCGGTGCGGGCGTCGCCCCTGGGGGGGGGGCGACAGACATGTAGTACAAGTATGTTGGGGTGACGCCGATGTATGCAAGACTTGACGAGAAAGATGGATCCGAAAGGATCCCGCGGCCCGAAACCGAGTTCCGAAAGTACCCGTCGTTGATTACTCCTTTCTTTTCACGGCGCCTGGACGTCAAGATTGGCCGGTGGCGTGGGCTAGCTAAGAAGCCGAGAGAATGTGCGGTTGTCGACGGCTTACTGCCAGGGCCTGGGAGCTGGGTCACCTAACTTCGCGCTTCGAGCCGCGAGAAACGATCCTCGCGCCGTCGGCGCGGCCCCTGGAGACGGACGGCCCTTCTGGCACAGGCCACGAGGCTTAGGTCGGGCGTGTCCTCCTACAGGCGGACTTGAGGAACAATAAGAAAAAACTGACAAATCCGCCGGCCCCCTTGTGGGGCCACCAGGCTGTAGGCGCGGGTTCGCAGTTTCCAGTACCAGTTGTAGCTTGTAGTTTCCAGTGTTACAGTTCTGCTTCTTGCTGGTTACTGTAACTAGTTGACTTCTCGCTGGTTACTGTAACTAGTTGATTGACCGCGCGAGGGGGGGGGAGGCCCAAACAAGACTTTTAGCGTCTCCTGGGCGCGTTGTCTGAATTGCTGGGGGGGCTCGAAATCGACACCCCTCACGCAGATCCGCGGGGTCAGGGTCCAAAAACACAGCGGATTTGCCACATTTCTGAAATTCGGTGCCACCCCTCACGCAGATCCGCGGGGTCAGGGTCCAAAACCACAGGGGATTTGCTACATTTCTGAAATTCGGTGCCACCCCTCACGCAGATCCGCGGGGTCAGGGTCCAAAAACACATGGGATTTGCCACATTTCTGAAATTCGGTGCCACCCCTCACGCAGATCCGCGGGGTCAGGGTCCAAAAACACAAGGA